TGTCTCAAATGGTTGTCCAAAGTCTCTTATTTATAATCCAAGCTTCTACCGTCATTGATGGTTCCAGAATTGAGCTTCATTTTATCTTGAATTTTCTAAAGCTGACAAAGGTGCGGCCTGTTACAACTTTAAATTCCAGCCTTTGTATCTAAAGGATATTTAGTCCTTTTTATCGTATACAACTATTGGAATAGAATTTGGACTAAAAGATTTGATGTAAGAGCTTTTTGTAATTTTCGTGAACTTCGTAATTTTTTATTTAAAAAAAAAAAACCAAACATTTTCTAAACATTCCTTACCTTATTTGGGTCACTTTCTCCTTTTTGGAACCTTAAGATTCATTCTCCATAAATAATTCAAAATTCAAAATTTTGTTAAAAATTGGAAAAATGACAATTTTGCTCTTTTTTTTCCTTTTTAGTTTACTTAGTTCCATTTAAAACCTTTCTCACACACCTTAAATTTACTCGTTAGTATTTAAAAATTAGTTCAAGTATATAGTATTCGAACTTATAGTGCTTATCTCGTAAGCCTTCCATTTGGTAAGGCCAATTCTTTCCTTTTCGTATTCGTAATCAATACTTGATTTCGTAGTTGCGACTTTTTTAATGACAAACTTTTCCTTCGACAGTACCACTCGAAGTAAACTATAGTAGCCTATAGAATATTACTATCTATCAAACCTCTATGGTCATTTTCATTTCAAACAATTCACTCGTATACGTAGATATATTTTTTTTTTTTATGTTTATGAGGTCGCTAATTTAAACATATAACCTTCTTTAGCAAAGTATTTTTCATGCATATACTAGTATTAAGTAGCCTACGGATATATTTTCATAAGACTAGATCTTAAAATATAACTATTTCTCACGTAACATCATCGCATCACATTGCACACAAGGATTAATCGTAGGGTTTATTATTTTTAATCTATTATTTTTTTGTAAGGCATAGCTGATGGTAACGAGACGTTCGCTACAAAACCATGGGAACATTTTGAGACTATATCATAGACTAGTCTATAAAATCTAAAAGTCTATAGCTCTGATACCAACTGTAACGACTCTATTTTTCTACTATAATAAAGTCGCTACTACATGCATGACATGACTGTTAAGTGCGAAAACATTCATTTAAAATATTTTATAAACGTTGTCATAGATTTAAATCTTCGTAATAAAATCTTTAAAATAATATAGTGCAAAAATAAATAAATGAAGTTTTAAATAAAATAAGAAAGAGAATAAAAAAATGCGTTGATTTAATCTAAGGGCTACAAACAACATAAATGCATCTACCTTAACTTCAGTCTTATAGGCATTATCGCGTCGTCGTCATCATGCAAAGATGCATTACTTTCACCTAAAAAATAAGAATAGCACGTAGCTTGAGTATTTTAAGAAATACCCAATAAATAACTCTACTACTGGCGTCAAGAAATGCAATCATTGGGACTTATCATTTCATAAAATATCACAATATGGTCTTAGTCTCTACTTTCTATTCGAACAGAATTGGATGTAAAATACGTTTTACACATGGCCCACGTTCGCGCACAAAGATCTCCAAAGGAGCTCGTATGCATACCCTCTATAAATTTCTATCATACATACGTTGAATAACTTGTTCAACGTACAAAAGAACATGCGTAATAATATTTGAAGCGAAAACTTGAGAGAAAGTGTGATTATTATAGCGATTTTCTAAGTAACCCTTTTATTCTTAACCCATCATTTTCCAATTTGTTCATATGTCAAAGTAGCAACCTAACAATTAGGGTTTAATTATTCCTATGGGGACCCATTGAAAACAATGGGTTATATGAAAAGTCTATGCCATTATTACTCTTGTTTGCCATTACAAGCTACCAAATTGGTAACATTTTTCTAACAAGCTAATAATATTTTGATACAAAACCTATTGAAGAGCATATGATTCTGTGATAAAAGTCACCCAAATCATTACCTTTTTTTCTTTTTGTTTTGTTTTGTTTAATCCCAATGTATCATTGGATACTCTCTTTTTTAAGGAATTGAAAAAAAAACAAGATCATTTAGGTCTAGACATGGGTGAATTTACCTACTACTTTTCGAACTTACCCCACAATGCACCGACCGCCAAATTTAATCCTCATTCAAAATGAATCGAATGATAAACTGTATCGATTTTAACTCTAAAATTTTATTTTGATCGATTTAAACTTTGAATTTAGTGGGTTGTATTAGTTTTAATCGTGAATTTCGATAAGTGTATCAATTTACATTTTCGGTTTAATTTTTGTTTTAATCTTTATTAGAAAAGTTTTTCGTACATGGTCCGAGTCACGTGTTACTCTATATAATAAATAAAATTGGTCGAAGTGTTTTTCAATTTTAGAGCAGGTTGTTTCTTTTGGTACTTTTTTCATTTCATTCGTGGAGATTATCTATATCATTGCTGGATTCCACTCGATTTTGTTGGCCTTCAAAGATGTCACTGCCTGGATCTTCTCACACTTGTCATTGCTAATTAAGACATTGAAGACGAGTGGAAACACAAGAGTCTATGTGGGTCCTACTTTTGAGAGTCCGATCTTAAATGTTTTAATTAGTTTTTTTTGTTTAAATGTAACATTAGATATCCATTACCGAGGAACATTTGAATTTGAGCAAGGGTGGAAAATCATGCTGACATTACTAGTTAAGGCATCGAACACGAGAGGGAACACAGGAGTCTGTGTGGATTCTACTTTTAGCTAGGTTCGTGATTTTCATGGTGGCAATCATTGAATCTTAAATTATTGAAATCGATGAAATTAAAAGTTTAAAGTTTACGACTAAAATCGATAAACAATGAGTTTAGATTAAAAAAAAAATGACTTAGTTTTCCAAAATATAAGAACAAGTCAGTAATGCTAAGGGAATAGGGTTATGTAGACTCAAAGACAAGCCCAAACTCACAAATGGGTATTAGTTTCTTCGGCCTTTTTGGAAGACTAGTACTTCTTGGACACAATATGATATCCACTTGAGAAAGACAGGCATAAACCAAAAATAAATTCATTATTTTATAGTTCATCCCATTGTTAGCCTCATAATCTCTCATAAATCAAAGGAAGCACCACTAGCCATGACTACTAATTCTAGATTTTAGAAGAGATATGAAAACGTATTAGTCTGGCTTCAGGTCTTCCCCGGTAATGGGACGCCTCTCGGCTAGTAATCGCTTTGTGCTTTCAAGGACGTCGAAGAAAATGGAACCCCCCAATGCCTACCTGTAGCACTCGAGGTACGATGCCCTCCAAGAACTTAACATATCATCATAACTTGTCATGTAGCCTCCTTTAGGTCACCGAAACATCACGAGCTGCGTATGCTAACGATGGAGACGAGTGGGAACACAAGGATTTTTGAACATCAATTTAAAAACTTCGAGGGGAAGCTCGAAAAGAAAAATTCAAAGAGGAAAATATCTGCTAACGGTGGGATTGGGATATTACAAAAGGTATCAGAGCCGAATATCCGGTGATGTGCCAGCGAGAAGGTTGAACCCCGAAGGGGATGGAGTAGAGATGGTGTGCCAGCAAGGACGTTAGACCTTGAAGGGGTGGATTGAGGGGGACCCACATTGATTGGAGAAGAGAACGAGTGCTAGCGAGGATGCTGGACCCTGAAGAGGGGTGGATTGTGAGATCCCACATCGTTTAGGAGGAGAACGGAACATTTTTTATAAGGGTATGCATACCTCTCCCTAGCAAACGCATTTTAAAAAGACTGTTCTAGTAGAATACCAAAGAAAAAGGTTGAACAATTTCAATTGGTTTGGTGACTCATTTCCACTATTTTGGACTTTTTCGAAATTGTTTCTATTGTAATTATACCATAAAAAAATAGTATAGCTACTTTTTGAACGATTAACAATATTTAACATTGTTTAGGATTGGTTTTAAGATAGTTAAGTTATGGTAGCTCCATAATATACTCTAAACTCGATCTTCTGAATAAATAGAATATCATATGTGAACCTCAATTCCAGTTGAGCTAAATCTATGAAAGATTAGTTAGGATGAGCTTAAGAACACCAAGATGAACTTGAAACAATAAGTGAACTTGTTGGTTTTGACCCTTGATTGAAGCACACCGAAACGAATGACCGAAGTGGAAAGAATAGCTAAAAAAACTTGAAGTACAATGCTTTTGAGTTTTCTATTGTAGGAAACACTCAGTACTCTTTATTAAGATTAAACAAGAAAGAGATTATCTATAGTAGAAGCTAGACAATATAAATAATACATTTTTTTTTCTATCTTATATTTTAAACCATACATTTTTTCTATCTTATATTTCATACTTCTAGATTGATCCCTAAAATATCCGATATCTATATTTTATCTCTAAGTTATCTAGATATTATCTCCTAAATTTGAAACACAAATCAAAACTTGTTCAATCAAGTACAAGTCAAGCTTATTGACTCACAATCTCTCCCATAGGCATGACTTTTCTCGAGATTCTTCACTGCGAGTAACTCTCACATATTTACAAATTTAACCTTTGCTAGGATCTTGGTGAGAATATCCACACATGACTCTCCAACGTATATAAACTCACAACGATATGTCACTTCTCAACACTTATAGATGAAGTGGAAGCAGTGTCGAGTGTCGATGTGTTTGCTACATCCACTCATAAATGAAGTGGAAGCAAGTGTAGTTGTGTTTGGAATTGCCACTTTTTGAGAAATGGTTCCTAAATCTAGAGAAGTTGGTAGTTTATTCTCACCCATTTGATTTTAGTAAATGCTATCAAAGGGAATTAAAGATCATATTCATCCAAAGTCCTCCTCTTTCCTCTTACTTTTTCCCAACTTTAGAGAAAATCTCAGTTAAAATTCACTCCAAACCTAGAAAAAATTTAGCACATAAACTCAGACATTTCAAACAAATGAAGAATTATATCTCCAAAATAATGAATTTGAAACTTAACTAAACATCTATCATCTAGAAACAACCATTCCAATTAATATGATCAAAACGAATAAGATTAGTCTTACTTGATACGACCGGGTGCGTTACGACCAGTGCACATTATTGGTTCTTTACAAACTTTATTCAACTGTTTTCAGAAGTTCACAACAAAAGGAAAATGAGAAAACACCTGATCTAATCAGGATAAATAATAATTTACATAAAATGGAATGAACAGCTCAAAGAATAAGTAACATTTTATAATACCAGGAAACCTCCAATCAATCAAAGAGTTCATGTTAAGGTCGTTGAGTTTCAGGAGAGAGATATTAACAAGCACAGCCTCCTCCTCCTCCGCCTCCTCCGCCGCCTCCTGCCTCCACTTCTGAAACAGAGTCTGAGATACTTTCAAAGTAACTGCAGCAAATGAATGAACATTTAATGTAAGCTCCAATTTCTGTATCAATTCATGTTCCTCCACTTCTACATATCTATTATGATTCAAAATCAATTTTGATAGTGTGAAATTCGAGTTTAAAAGTGTAAAACTAACCATTAAAATGATTACATGAGAACCGCTTTTTCATAAATCACTTGTAGACAATTCGTTTTCGCTAAAGCCACCCTTTCTAATATCACTATCAAACATGTGTTTAGTACTAAATCATTTTGATGGTTAGTCCTATCTTATAAAGTTTTTTTTTTTTTTTTTTTTTTTTTTTTGGATAGTTTGCCAAAAGCACTTCTAAGACACCTTTGCTTTTTTCCCTAAAGCACTTCATATAACTTTCAAACGTGAAAAAGGTTTTTTGGATGGTTACCATTCAAGTAGTAGAGCCAAAAGCACTTCAAAAGACGCCTTTGATTTTTTTTCCTAAAGCACTTTATATTACTTTCAAACGTGAAAAATATGTATGAAAAGTTAGTTATTGCGAAGTGCTGATGCGCCTACTACAAACAGTCTCCATCCTAGTTTAGGCGTTATTTGAAGCACCTTTCTATAAGCATGCTTGGAAAAAGTACTCATTAAGCAAAGCATCGTCACAATATCTACTAAACAGGCATCAGCACATATGAAGGAGTTCATTCTTTATTGGCACTATTATTGTAACAACTCAAGTACACCACTAACAAATATTTTCTTTTTTGGGTTTTCCCTTTCGGGCTTCTCCTCAATGTTTTTAAAATGTGTACACTAAGGAGAGGTTTCCACACCCTTATAGGTGGACCCTAAAGGGTATGGATGGTGAGATCCCACGTCGTTTGCGGAGGAGAATGAAAAACCCTTTATAAGGGTGTGGAAACCTCTTCCTAACAGACGCGTTTTAAAAATATTGTGGGGAAATCCAAAAGGGAAAGTCCAAAGAAGACAATATTTGCTAGCAGTATGCTTGGGTTGTTACAATTATGCTATAAAAGATATTATCATTAAGGAAATTAGATTTTTCAAACTTACTGGTCCTGCTCTTCTTCATTGGTTAATGCAGCTTTTGCAATGCATAGAAATGCTTCATTGACATTATAATCCTCTTTTGCTGAGGTCTCAAAGTATGGCATGTTTCCCCTGGAATTACACCATTGTCTGGCCCTTTTCTCTGAGACCTGCACTCAAGGAGGATTCATATAATTCTTGGACAACAACTTTATCAATAGTTTCGGAGAAAGATTTGAAAATCCTTACAGCTCGGCTGCATCCATTGTCTACATCGATCTTGTTCCCGAGTAATAGGAACGGGAATGCTTTTGGATCAGCTGGCCCTGCCTGTTCAACATTAGAAAAATTCAATGTGGAAAATTAGATATTAATAACGAAAGGAAAATATATTATCAAGAGCAGATTATTGAGTTGAACATGCTTCACTTGTATGGTTTGGTAACTGCAAATTAATGAGGATAATTGAAAAAGTATAAAAAAAGGCAGGTTGACTTCAGTTTAAGTTTTTACAATAAAATTTTAGACCGTTTATACTCCAAAAGTATTTTTAATACTCAAGTAGAAGTTTCATTTGGGGAAGAAACAACATACTTATGAGTAGATAACAAAGTAGCCAAATTCATTTATCAGATAAGAAAGTGTAGCATGTTGACTTAAGTTTCTCGAAGTTTCTATTTTTTCTTTTTAAGATTTTGTCTACTTGGTTTCATAACTTTTACAAGGTATCGAACAGGCTTGTAGACTGTGAGATCCCACATCGGTTGGGGAGGAGAACGAAACATTCTTTATAAAGGTGTGGAAACCTCTCCCTAGTAGACGTGTTTTAAAAACCTTGAGGGGAAGCCCGAAAGGGAAAGCCCAAAAAGGACAATATCTGCTAGTGGTAAGCTTGAACTATTACAAATGGTATCACGAACACCGGGCAATAATGCCAGCAAGGAGGTTGAGCCCCAAAGGGGAGTGGACACAAGGCAGTGTGCCAGCAAGGATGTTGACCCAAAGGGGGGTAGATTGGGGGGTCCCACATTGATTAGAGAATGGAACAAGTGCCAAGGAGGACACTAGACCCCCAAATGAGGGTGGATTGTGAGATCCCACATCAGTTGGGGAGGAGAACAAAACATTCTTTATAAAAGTGTGAAAACCTCTCCCTAGCAGACACGTTTTAAAAACCTTGAAGGAAAACTCGAAAGGAAAAACCCAAAAAGGACAATATCTACTAGCGGTAGGCTTGGGTTGATACAGACTTTCAACTTTGTGTCCAATAAATCCCTAAAAAATTGTCTAATCGATTCTTAAAATTTTGATTTTGTAATCAATACCCTAAATTTTCAAGTTGGTATAAAATAGGTGATTCGAGGATTAGACAACAGCTAAGAATTTAGGAATTGATGTTTCAATTTAACCAACAAGATTTAGAGACAAAACCACCTGAGGAATACAATAAACCATGCATAAGCAAGACCAAACCTGCTTGAGAAACTCCTCATGCCAACTGCTGAGTGATTCAAATGATTTGACCACATTCACATCATAGACAAAAACACAGCAATCTGCTCCTCTGTAAAATGCAGCCCCTAGACTCTGAAACCTTTCCTGCCCTGCTGTATCCCAAACCTGTTTCGAACACAAAAAAGAATCAGAAGATTTGCTTGACTAGATCATGATGTTAAAAGAAAATAATAAAGCTATGGTTTACCCACTTGCAATGTGACAAGCTGGTCATCAATTTGTAGCTCCTTTGTCATAAAGTCAGCACCAATCGTTGCTTTATACTGTAGACAGAACTTCTTATACACATATCTAAATCAGTTGTTAACAGTCCACAACACCAAAAACCGAACAAAAATTCTCTCAGGCATTTCAACAAACACTTAGAAGTATATATTTCATTCAGCACTAAGAAACACTTGGAAGTGAAGAACAAAATGCGATTATCAATCAGAAAGGATACCGATTCATCAAAGAGGTTTTCCCGACTCTGAAAATTTCAATAAAACAGCAATTTATGTTGAAACAGATTCATGAAATTGAAACGAAATTAAAAGGTAACAGAAGAAAATGAAGCTCACCCACTGTCACCGAGGAAGATGACTTTGAGGAGCCTTCTTTTTGTAGCAGAAACTTCCATGGGTACAGAAAATGGAAATGTAAATCATAAGAGTTGCAATTTACACCAAATTTTGGTCTGAAACGAGTGAAAATAAGAAGAGGGTTTGCGGGGAAGAGAGGCAATTGAAGATGGTGATCAGTGGAGAAAAGTTGAAACCAAATTTGTTTTCAGGTGGGTGTTCTTGAATCTTCGCTGTGATCCTTTTGCTCTGTGTTTCTACTTTTCCATTTATTCGGTCGGTGTGCGTTGATTGATGCAAAGGGAATGACATGTGAGGCTTCGCCAAACCAAATCCCTGGGCGCCACCGGACCTCTCTTTTTTTATTTTCAAATCCAAATATTTAATTCAATTCAACCCCTCAAAATTATAATTTTTAATTTTTAATTTTATTTTAATGCTCAAAATTAAACTTCTTTTTATTGGTTAAAATTATTTTTTTTCTTCAAATTTTATCTAATTAAATTTTACGTTTAAATATTAACACTATAATTTTCATAATTATTTTCATAATTTAGTGTGATTTTTGTAATTTTCTTGTCCGACTTAATAACATCATACAGACCCGAGCAACCTGATTAGATTGGGTTGAATTGTCGTGTTGTTTTTCTTTTTTTTTTAATTATTTTTTAAAGAAAATCCATTTCTCCACAGAAAATATTACATTAATAACTAAAATCTCATAAAACTCAAATATCAAATATTTACCCGTCACAACTCAGCACCAATATTCATAAATATTAGTCTTTTTAAAAGAAGGGTAAGGTTTGGTTGAATTGGAACTCTATTTTTAGACGGGTCCAGTTTAATTGTAACTCTATTTTCAGATGGGTCACGTTGAATTGTAACTCTATTCTCAGGATGGTCGGATTGAATTGTAACCTTATTTTCAGGTTGGTCGGATTAAATTACAACTTTATTTTCAGGTGGGTCGAATTGATTCGACTAAAAAAATGTTAACCCACACATCGAACTGACTTTTCAATTTTTTTTTTTTTTTAAATCGAATCCAAACTCAACGTTTATAATTTGATCCCTCGTTGTCATCTTAAACCATAGATATTTTATATATATGATATGATATGATATGATAGGGTAGAGAATAAAATAAATAAGAGTATTAAATAAAGGTGGAGGGAAGGGGTGTGGAGGGTTAGGTTATAGAAATTTGAAATTGAAACGGTTGAGTGATAGTTATTATTGGAAAGGACTGGTGAGGGGTCGTGGTTGCCTCATCTTCTTCCCTCGAGTGGACAGTTGGCAGATATGTTTTTAATACTTTCCTTTTTCTTTTTTTTTTTTTTATATGTTAAACAACCAATTTATGAATCCCTTCCTCACGTACCCACGTCCTGCCCCCATCTCCTCATTTCAATTTCAATTTCAAATAAACTAAGTTCTTTGAGCTCCAATTTTAATTCAAATCTAAGCTTACCCCTTGTGTCAAGGACTTGTTGGGAATATAGTCGAGTGAGGAAGACAGATAGCGGATCGAATTCTGGGTTTAGACGGTTGACTCTGGCAATTCGGATGAAAACGTCGACGAAAAACTGGTCGAAAGAAGGTTTCTTCGAAAGAAAAAGTAGCTAAAGTAAAAGGAGAGAGAGATTCACTGAAGACGATGATGTTTTATTTCTGATTGAATTGAATTTTTAAATAACAAACCTAATTACAACAATAGAAAGGGTAGACTAAAACTTAGCCCAAAGTTAGTCAAAAATGGCCAACCAATCGATCTGCATATTCTCGAATGTAGTGGAATCTGATTTCTATGTGCTTATTCCGGTCGTGCAAAACTAGATTTTTTATCAGGGAGATCGTAGTTTTGTTGTCCACGTATAGCATTGGTGGATCGCTTTCTCTCCCAATGAGTTCTTCCATTAGTCGCGTAAGCCCGACCCTCTGTGTTGTTGTCATCGAAGCGGCGATGTATTCTGCTTCACAGGAAGACAAAGCAACTACCTTCTGTTTTGTTGATTGCCAGTAGATTGCACTGCTTGAGAGGAAGTAGATCATTCCCCTAGTGCTCTTATGATCATCAACGTTACCGGCCATGTCACTATCACTATAGCCGACCAGCTTGAGTTTCTCCTTTTCTCTCCTTGCGCAGTATCTTATACCCCAGCCTCTGGTTCCGGCTACATAGCGCAGGATGCGCTTGACAGCCACTAGATGCTCCTCCCTAGGTGCTTCCATAAACCTACTCACATATCCAACAGAATAAGCAAGATTAGGACGAGTGTTTACCAGATAGCGCAGACGCCTAACAATGCTGCGGTAATTGGTGGAGTCGACTGTCGTCGTAGTGCCGGGCATCCTTAGTTGGAGTCGGGCCTCTGCTTGCAATGGTCGTGTGTGTACATGTCATGCTCAGAGGCATAGCGCTTGAATTTCAGTGACAGTAGGGTACTGTCGAGCTTCGCGTTCCAGGCTCTTAAGGCTTGTCGGAGCCCGTAGAGTGCCTTGTGCAGGCACAGTACCTTATCGGAGTTGTCGTTGTCTAGGAAGCCAGGTGGTTGTCGGACGTAGACGGTCTCCTTCAACTCTTCGTTAAGGAAAGCAAACTTCACGTCCATATGGTGAACCTCCCAAGAGTAATATGCCGCAATTGCCAGGAAAAGACGGACGGATTCTAACCTTGCCACCCGCGCAAATACCTCTTCGAAGTCCACTCCTTGGTTTTGGACGTAGCCCTTCGCCACGAGATGAGCCTTGTGCTTCACAACTTCTCCTTTTTCGTTGCGCTTCAGTTTGAAGACCCATGTGAGCCCTATGGCTCGGTGTCCCGGCGGCATATCCTCCAGACTCCACGTCTGGTTCTCGGTGATGGATGTCATCTCCTCCTGCATTGCCTTCAGCCAGCATGGGTTTCTTTCTACTTTGGCGAAGGTGTTCGGTTCATCTATACTGATGACATGCAGTTCGGCCACTTCTTCGAGCTCGCGTGCTGCCAGTCTAGGTGGTTCACCTCCTCCCACTAGGTCGTCCATCCTCCGGTACCTGGCCTCCAGATCGGCATCGTGATCGGCATCCAGCGTCGAATCCGCAGTCCGTGGTGTTGCGTATTTCCTGGTTCAGGGGGTGCACCTGCTGGCGGCGGTGATGGCTCCTGATGCTGGGTTCCTCCTTCTTCCAGCTCGGTGACGAGGTATTCCACCATGAATTGATTTGGATTATGGTCTGCCTCGATCACATCATTCCTCTGCCAAAAGTTGCTTTCGTCGAAGACGACATCGCGAGACACGTGAGCTCGTCTCCCTATAGGATCATAGAGTCTGTACGCCTTGCTCCCGGGTTCATAGCCGATGAAGACGACCTTCAGCCCCCTGGGATCGAGCTTGGCGAGGTGGGGACGTGTTACCTTCATGTATGCGACGCAGCCGAACATGCGAAAATGATGTACCGCTGGCTTTTTGTTGTACTAGGCCTCATATGGCGTCTTCTTGTCAAGGCTTCGGGTTGGTGACCGATTGAGGAGATAGACGGCCGTCATTACCGCCTCTCCCTAGAATCTCCCAGGCATCCCGGCCGTCACCAACAATGACCTCGCTGTTCCAACGATGGTCTGATTTTGGCGCTCCACCACTCCGTTCTGTTGGGGGGAATAGGGCGCCGTTAGGTGTCGTTGTATGCTGAACTCATCGCAGTACTTACCGAAACTTGCCGAGGAGAATTCTCCACCCCGGTCTGTGCGCAGCACTCGCATCTTTTTCTCACATTCGGCCTCCGCTCGCGCTTTAATGCGCTTAACCGCCTCTACCGACTCACTTTTCGCTTACAGCAGGGTCAGCCACATGAAGCGGCTTTTGTCATCGACTAATAGAAGGAAGAGACTCTTACCGCCTGGGGTCGCCGGCTTGGTGAGCCCGCAAATATCACCGTGTACAAGCTCCAACGACTCATCGGCGCGATAGGATGTCCGAGACGGAAAGGGTGTGCGCCTCTGTTTGTCGATGAGGCACCCGTCGCACAGTTTGTTCACTCCTTTGATTACCGGCAAACCGTGCACCATCTCCTCCTTCTGTAGCTTTTCTAGAGTAGGAAAGTTTAAGTGTCCGTACCTTGCGTGCCACCGAGTGCCACCGAAGAGGATGCGGGACCTGCGTGAGTAGCCGTCGTCGATCATCGCAGATTTTGAGTAGCCTGCGCTCGATGGAAATGAAGCAGCCTGTCTCATCGAGTTGACCCAGGCTCACAAGGTTAGCCTTGAGCCTCAGGATGAAGTAGACGTCGATCAGCTTGCGGTGCTCGCCTCCCTCGCTGACGAATAGGATTGTGTTGCGCCCTTCGATCTCGACGACGAAGCCGTTGCCGAATTTCACCATTTTGCAAATCTCTGAGTCAAGCTCGGAGAACGCAGATCTAGCCCCGGTCATATGGTTTGTTGCCCCTGTGTCGAGGATCCATCGCCGGTGCTCGTGCTGCTCGTCCCTCTCGCCGATCTGAGCGAACACTCGCTCCTCCTCAGTTGAATTGGCTCCCCAGCTGGTGCCGCCTTTGCTACGCCTAGCTGGAGCTCTTTCTCGGTTACCTCCATCTCCGTGGATTTGGAATCGAAATTCGGGACGCATGCACTTACCATGAAGAGAGCTGGCTCATCCTCCTCGGATTGTGAGCCACATGGGCCTTCTCAGTCTTCCTGAGCTTGCTCCAGCAATTCTTGCTCAGGTGACCTCTCTTCCCGCAGTTCGAGCACTAGATCGCCCTGGCCATCGGTCGACTCCTTCTTTTGATCCCCACTTTTCCGCGCGTGCGCCCATGAGCTTTCCATGGCTTCTTACCGCCTTTGCGGCTGGAGGGCCCGTTGCTCTCACCGGTGTTGCTGCAGAGCTTTAGGCGTGCAAGCCATTCCTCCTAAGTGAGGAGTAGACGACCCTCCTTGTCGACAGCTGAAGCGGTATTTTTCTTCCGCTGCTTCTTCCACCGTTAGGTCGTTCACGTCAAGCAATGTCTCGATTGAAATCACAACTTGCTCGAGGTGATCGGGGACGACCTGCAACATCTTCTTCACGATTTCAGTCTCGCTGATGCTGCCACCGAGAGTGGTGATTCTGTTGGCGAGCCCCATGATCCGCATTAAAAAATCATCGACGGATTCGCCGTCCTTAAAGTGGATCTCCGAGAGCTCCTTCCGCAGCTGCTCGCACCACCGCCGATCTGAGCGAACACTCGCTCCTCCTCTAGTTGAATTGGCTCCCCAGCTAGTGCCACCTTTGCTACGCCTAGCTGGAGCTGTTTCTCGGTTACCTCCATCTTCATGGATTTGGAATCGAAATTCGAGACGCATGCACTTACCATGAAGAGAGCGC